TCAGTCTCTCAGCCTGGAGAAGTGTTCAGTCCCTCAGCCTGGAGAAGTGTTCAGTCCCTCAGCCTGGAGAAATGTTCAGTCTCTCAGCCTGGAGAAGTGTTCAGTCCCTCAGCCTGGAGAAGTGTTCAGTCCCTCAACCTGGAGAAGTGTTCAGTCCCTCAACCTGGAGAAGTGTTCAGTCCCTCAACCTGGAGAAGTGTTCAGTCCCTCAGCCTGGAGAAGTGTTCAGTCCCTCAACCTGTAGAAGTGTTCAGTCCCTCAACCTGGAGAAGTGTTCAGTCCCTCAACCTGGAGAAGTGTTCAGTCCCTCAGCCTGGAGAAGTGTTCAGTCCCTCAACCTGGAGAAGTGTTCAGTCTCTCAGCCTGGAGAAGTGTTCAGTCCCTCAGCCTGGAGAAGTGTTCAGTCCCTCAACCTGGAGAAGTGTTCAGTCTCTCAGCCTGGAGAAGTGTTCAGTCCCTCAACCTGGAGAAGTGTTCAGTCCCTCAACCTGGAGAAGTGTTCAGTCCCTCAGCCTGGAGAAGTGTTCAGTCCCTCAACCTGGAGAAGTGTTCAGTCTCTCAGCCTGGAGAAGTGTTCAGTCTCTCAGCCTGGAGAAGTGTTCAGTCCCTCAACCTGGAGAAGTGTTCAGTCTCTCAGCCTGGAGAAGTGTTCAGTCTCTCAGCCTGGAGAAGTGTTCAGTCTCTCAGCCTTGATAAAAATATCATTGTTATATCGCGTGTTGTTAAATCATGTTTTCAAATGAGTCTTAATGACAGTAATTGATTTGTCACCGAAACACTGATTATACATCACAGTCTTCAGAAGTTGCAAGTTAATTCTTTGCGTTTTATTATACACATTTTTTTTTTTTGACAAAGATAATTTTTTTTTTGTCCTACATTAGTCTTCCTATTTTGGTTCTCATATTACTATTCCATGGAATTATACCTATTTTAATAATTTCTTGCTTGGTCTAATTCTCATTATAAAATGGTTATTTATTACTATTAAATAACTGTTTCAACAATACATTTAATTTGCATAAAGCCTTCGTAATATTAAATTCCATTTGATATCTATATAATTTTTAGATAAAAAATTCTTCTTTCGTAATATCGTTTGTTTATATTTTTTCTAAACTAAAAATAAGTTTTTAGATCAATTGTTTCTAATTTATTAACATAATTTTATTTTTCATTTGAATTAAAAAGTTTACTTTTAAATAATGAATAATATGATGGTGAGACTGCACAGCCAGCTGGTACTGTTTAGACCAGCTGGGACTGTTTAGACCAGCTGGGACTGTTTAGACCAGCTGGGACTGTTTAGACCAGCTGGGACTGTTTAGACCAGCTGGTACTGTTTAGACCAGCTGGGACTGTTTAGACCAGCTGAGACTGTTTAGACCAGCTGGGACTGTTTAGACCAGCTGGTACTGTTTAGACCAGCTGGGACTGTTTAGACCAGCTGGGACTGTTTAGACCAGATGGGACTGTTTAGACCAGCTGGGACTATTCAGACCAGCTGGGACTGTTCAGACCAGCTGGGACTGTTCAGACCAGCTGGGACTGTTCAGACCAGCTGGGACTGTTTAGACCAGCTGGGACTGTTTAGACCAGCTGGGACTGTTTAGACCAGCTGGGACTGTTCAGACCAGCTGGGACTGTTCAGACCAGCTGGGACTGTTCAGACCAGCTGAGACTGTTCAGACCAGCTGGGACTGTTCAGACCAGCTGGGACTGTTTAGACCAGCTGGGACTGTTTAGACCAGCTGGGACTGTTTAGACCAGCTGGGACTGTTTAGACCAGCTGGCACTGTTTAGACCAGCTGGGACTGTTCAGACCAGCTGGTACTGTTTAGACCAGCTGTTACTGTTTAGACCAGCTGGGACTGTTCAGACCAGCTGGGACTGTTCAGACCAGCTGGGACTGTTCATACCAGCTGGGACTGTTCAGACTAGCTGGGACCGTTCAGACCAGCTGGGACTGTTTAGACCAGCTGGGACTGTTTAGACCAGCTGGGACTGTTCAGACCAGCTGGGACTGTTCAGACCAGCTGGGACTGTTCAGACCAGTTGGGACTGTTCAGACCAGCTGGGACTGTTTAGACCAGCTGGGACTGTTCAGACCAGCTGGGACTGTTTAGACCAGCTGGTACTGTTCAGACCAGCTGGGACTGTTCAGACCAGCTGGGACTGTTCAGACCAGCTGGGACTGTTTAGACCAGCTGGTACTGTTCAGCTCAGCTGGGATTGTTCAAACCAGCTGGGAATGTTCAGACCAGCTGGGACTGCACAGCCATCTGGGACTGTTCAGACCAGCTGGGACTGCACAACCAGCTGGGACTGTACAGAGCAGCTGGGACTGCATAGACCAGCTGGGACTGTTCATACCAGCTGGGACTGTTCAGACCAGCTGGGACTGTTCAGACCAGCTGGGACTGTTCAGACCAGCTGGGACTGTTCAGACCAGCTGGGACTCTTCAGACCAGCTGGGACTGCTCAGACCAGCTGGGACTGCACAGACCAGCTGGAACTGTTCCGACCAGCTGGGACTGTTCAGACCAGCTGGGACTGCACAGCCAGCTGGGACTGTTCAGACTAGCTGGGACTGCACAACCAGCTGGGACTGTTCAGACCAGCTGGGACTGTTCAGACCGGCTGGGACTGCAGAGCCACCTGGAACTGTACAGAGCAGCTGGGACTGCACAGGCCAGCTGGGACTACAAACCAGCTGGGACTGTACAGACCAGCTGGAAGTGCACAGCCAGCTGGGACTGTACATAACAGCTGGGACTATACAGACCAGCTGGTCTGTATAGCTGGGACTATACAGACTGGTCTGTATAGCTGGAACTATACAGACCAGTTGGCACTGTACTGAGCAGCTGGGACTGTACAGACCAGCTGGGACTATACAGACCAATTGGGACTGCACAGACAGCTGGGACTACAAACCAGCTGGGGCTGTTCAGACCAGCTGGAACTGTACAGCCTAGCTAGGACTGATACAGAAAAAACGTAACAAGGACTGATAAATGAAGTCAGATATTAATGCGGAAGCTCAGGGAGTCACAACTGTGACTCCCTGAGAAGTTCACAGCTAAAATTGGACTCATGGTATTTTATATATAGTAACTCTTCCACGAAGGTTGATGACATATATACCGTGGGAGTAGCGTAATGTGAATGTTGATGATGTTAGTACCGTGGGAGTAGCGTAGTGTGTAGTATGAATGTTAACAATAGTAACATGGGAGAAGCATAATGTGTGGTGTGAATGTTGTTGACATTAGTATCGTGTGTAGTGTGAATGTTGTTGACACTAGTAACGTGGGAGTGGAGTAGCGTAGTGTATGGTGTGAATGTTGATGACGTTAGTAACGTGGGAGTAGCATAGTACGTGGTGTAAATGTTGACATTATTTAACGTGGGAGTAACGTAGTGTGGTGTGAATGTTGTGGACATTAGTAACGTGGGAGTAACGTAGTGTGGTGTGAATCTTGATAACGTTAGTAACGTGGGAATAACGTAGTGTGTGGTGGGAGAACTCAATATAAATTATTTGAATTCGATAGTGTAGTGTGAGGGATAGTCACGGTAGTGTGATTGTGATGCGAGTGTACTTACATAATTGTACTCACCTAATTGTAGTTGCAGGGGTCGAGACTCAGCTCCTGGCCCCGCCTCTTGACTGAACGCTACTAGGTCCTCTCTCTCTCCCTGCTCCATGAGCTTTATCATACCTCGTCTTAAAGCTATGTATGGTTCCTGCCTCCACTACATTGCTTGCCAGACTGTTCCACTTCCTGACCACTCTGTGACTCTGTGACTCATCTGAGTCTTCAACTTCCTAGAGTGACCCTTTGTTTCTGTTTCCCCTCTCTGGAACATCTTGTCTCTGTCCACCTTGTCTATTCCACGCAGTATTTTGTATGTCGTTATCTTGTCTTCCCTATCCCTCCTGACCTCAAGTATCGTCAGGCCGTGTATTGTGATTGTTGTGGTGAGTGTAATGTGATTAATGTGTGAGTGGCTTCTTCAGTCCTAAATAGGACTTCAGTGCTAATTAGGACTGAAGAAGCCACTTGTGGAGAAACATTTCCTTAATAAATGTATTGATGGGTACATATGTGTCTTGGTAGGTAAGACACAAAGACAACGGTTAGGCAACTTTATTCCGAAACGTTTCGCCTACACAGTAGGCTTCTTCAGTCGAATACAGAAAGTAGGCAGGAACAGGCTGAGGGACTGATAACCTCAAATTCTACGACTTCAAGGGTGATGGACTGATTACATCGTCTTCACATCTCTACTGTTCCTGCCTACTTTCTGTATTCGACTGAAGAAGCCTACTGTGTAGGCGAAACGTTTCGGAATAAAGTTGCGTAACTGTTGCCTTTGTGTCTTACCTACCAATCTGTCGGTATTTTATACCATTTTGATGTTCACATATGTGTCTTGTACCTACTGTTGGTACCACCATACTGCTTCCACCTAGTGTGGTTGTGTACTGTGAATGTGAAGATGTGTGTATTGTGTGTAGTGTGAGTGTAGTGTGCGTAGTGTGAGTGTAGTGTGTGTAGCGTGAGTGTAATGTGTGTAGCGTGAGTGTAATGTGTGTAGCGTGAGTGTAATGTGTGTAGCGTGAGTGTACAGTGTAGTGTGAGTGCACAGTGTAGTGTGAGTGTACAGTGTAGTGTGAGTGTACAGTGTAGTGTGAGTGTACAGTGTAGTGTGAGTGTACAGTGTAGTGTGAGTGTACAGTGTAGTGTGAGTATGGCGTGATGTTCATTGTAATGTAGTGTGGTGTGAAGTATGAGTATAGTAACCAGTAAAATATGTAGACTGTAGAGTAGAGCTGTTACACTGAAAGTAGTGTAGGAGAGTGAAGCATTAGTGAAGAACGCAGTGTAATATAACTTTTCATTTAACTGTCCACTAACTAGCAACCTCAGGAAATCATACTAGTTAACTATTGTTAAGAATATAGCTATTTCTGCACAAACAAAAGCATGTACCTGTCTCGAATGCTCCAAATCCTGTTTGTTTCCAAGCAAAGTGATTGGCGGGCGAGGCGGGTGTGGACGGAGCTTGAAGATGGTGTGAAGCAGCTGATTGGCTGTGAGGAAGGTCTCTCTCTCTGCCACACTGTAAACAACCAGAAAACCGTCGCATTGACAGATCTCCGGCGTCGGCAGTATACTGTCGCCCTGTAGGAATACACCTGTTTATTATATGGCCTCTCTGTAGCCCTAGGAGATACATATGTTTATGTATATATATCGCTTTTGTGGTACAGTCCATAGGGCAGAGCAGAAATTGGTACCGTCTAAGGTGAGTATACCGGGAAAGAGTTCCGGGGGTCAACGCCCCCGCGGCCCGGTCTGTGACCAGACACAATCTTTCAGGCATCAGTCCTTCAGAAATAACGAGAATCAAGTCTGGTATCACCAAAAGAGCATCGACTCTTGAAAAACCTTCTCAGAGCTACTGAAATCAGTCGCAATCTTAGAGATAACAAAATACTTGCCAAATAAGGATATGCCACAAGTGACCACCACAAGAGATGTCAGAGTATCTTTACCATGAAAAACTTGCTTGATGACATTATTGCCAAAAAAATTACGCAGATGAAGCCTCATCAGAAGTTTGAAGAAAGTCAGTGAAGCAAGCCCCATCAGTCCAAAATGTATCTTCTGTATGAAGACAGTTAAGTATTCTAGGTTATTGTAGATGAATGGTTCAGGTTCTTATACAATGAGGTGAGACTTTTACTAGAGCTCACACGAGGCTTTTCCACAGTTTACTGAATTAAGAACAAATGAGAAAATCAGTAAAACTGCAGTCAGGTAAATGGACAAAAGAATGCTTGTCATTGTTAGCAGGGAACTGAGTGTTGCTGAAGACCATTTTCACAGGTCCTGCTTCTTCCTGTACACTATGGATATAGATGCTGCCACAACCACAAACAGTCGAGCAGTGAACTACTTCCATTTATCAGAGAAATGATTGTTAACTCGGTTGTGGTGTCTCCGACTAGCCTCGTATGTAGATTGGTGCTGGCTGTCAATGCTTTTGGTGTGACCTAGTTGAAAGCACGTCCTATTTTTCCAGAAAATATTGATCAGTTCATCCTATATCCTGACTTTCTATATGTTAGCTTGCAAAACCATATCATGCACTCCAAGCAGAATTGGAGATAATGAAGTCGGCCAAGACTGAGGACAGCACAGACACGGTAGAACTGATAAGAGACGACGTCAAAAATAAGGCTAACATTGCCACCTAACATGTCAGAACTGGAGCACAGGAATAGCAGCATCCATGTTTCAGTTTTCCAGTTCCATCACAAACTGGTGATAGGCACAACGATATGTTATCATTTACCTCAAGAGTGCAGCGCAAGCCGACTTCTTTGATCAGGATTTGGTTTATGCCATCACCTGTGGCAAGGCAGGTATATGCAATCAACAGATCAAGGAAATACACCTCAAACATACTACCCGCATGAACATTGTGATAGTGACACAAATATTTTTGCACTTGGATGTTACAATATAGATATTATGTGCTCATCATGCTCTTGCATATAGCATGTTAGAATGTAAATATTACTGTGAAACACTTTAGATTAACGGGTCTTTTATTTACCATGTTTAACTAAATCCCTAAATTTATGTCGTTGAAGTAAACAGATATAGCATATGTGCCGTAAATTTTCAGGAAAACTTTACAGAATAAAACAAAAAAGTCCCATTGGTTACTGAGATTATTTTTTATTAGAGTTGACTATGTAAAACCAAACAAAATGGTCTAAATATTCCAAATTAAGAAAATAGTTAATGCACTTAAATTTTACAGTTGCCAAATTCTTAATGTTAAGAGTTTTACCATGTTTGCAAGTCACTAAAACTGTTCTCGGGGTGGATGTCTCAGTATCTTTGTTATTAGATTAAATATCTTTCATGACTTTGTTTACTTGTGCTGGGTTCATACATTCACTAACTGGTAACAATTAGAGTGTTGCCACTCTCAACTGTTATCACAGGAAAATGTTATAAATATACCATTTAAAAACACGTAACCGAATTTACCACCTTGGGTGGTACCGATAAGTTAAAAATCTGATCTGAGCTCAAGAACTGAAGTAACTTCTACGTGTTATTGCCGCATTTAATGGATTCGGAAGTTTTTATCCCCGATCTTGCATACAGTGGGAAGCAATACAACAATATTCTTACCGTTCTGGAGACGTCGATGATTTCAAGTTCGACCTTCACACCGTCGACTTGAAGACTTTGACGGTAGATGATATCTGAAAGAAGGAAGAAGTCACATGACTGGTGTATTGGCTGTTGCAGGTGAAGTGTGACGTGTGTATTAAATAGAGAGTAAGCAATGTAGTTGGAGTGTAACCTCTCTGAAGTTGGAATATGACCTGTTTAGGAATTTAAAGATGAAGCCAACGAAGACAGTTACCATTCGTTGAGCAAACTAAGAGTAAAGATTACTCGTTAGAGACATGTGATTCATCTGCAATTCATGTTATTTAGATCACAAATGCACACGTCGACGGGTTGACAAGGCTTCTGTCTAATATGGGAATGACCAGTACAACGATGTACAGATGTGAACGTTCACACGAGCGCGTACGCATGTCCGCTTACACAAAAATACGCACACACACACACACACACACACAAAAAAAAAAAAAGTGGAAAACAGCGAGAAGATGAAGCAGAAGAAAAACAAAGCTACAAATTCTTGGGGCGTTCAGGCACAGAGATCGATTGAGAATATTGGAGCCCATATGGAGGACCAGAAACGTCGTGAACAAAGCTAACAGATACCAGTGGAAAAGTCTATAAGATAACACGTGTGAGGAAGTCTAGAAATAATGGATGGGTATCAACAAGCAACCGTTGACTCAATGTTCACTCAAAACTATTGTAAACAAAATTGACACTGAAATATCAGTATGTATGTGCGAATGATTAGACTTTCAAACTTTAAAATATGTAGTAGAAGTTAGATTTGAAAGAAATATGGAAGGAGAGGACATATAAACAAATTGCCGAAAAAGAAACTATGAACATATGAGGATTTTCCCGAGAATTTCGCTGGAAAAGGGAGAAATTGGATGGGAAGAAATCTACTAAATTATGGAAAGACTAGTTGTACAGTGACCTTATTTATGTCATTTATGTAGATTGTGAAAAATAAGAGGCCCAGTGCTGGTCCCAGTGAAACACCACTTGTGATGGGTCTCCATTTTGATTTCCCGTTTATGCGAACTCTCTGTTGGCTATCGGTTATCCATGATAATTTCTACTCCTGTACTGCGTGCCTTTACTTTTTAGTAGTCTCTTGTGTGGAAGTCTACCAGTGACCTTACTGAAACCATACACATGCTGTATTATCATGATCTACTGCCTTAAATACCTTAATGAAATGGCTCATAAATTCATAAGGCAAGAACGCCCGTATGTAAAACTGTGCTAAGATTTATTGATCAATTTCTTTCATATAAGGTGGTTTAGAATTGTATCTGCAGTAATTGATTCCATGAATTTTTCCACAATTAAGGTTAACGTAATAGGTCCTTAGAGTTAAATTATACACCAGTCTCCTGCTTTGTCAATAGATATCATATTTGTCATTTTCCACTTATATGACACGATATGGTTTGGGTCTGGTAAACAGTATTTATTACGAACCCTTGTTTTACATTCGTCCGTATCCTGTTCTTATCAAGACTTATCATTCTCTATCTACCTCATTATTGCCTTATCCAATTTTTAATCCTCCTTCCTTCCTTCGCTTCCATTTCTAACCTCCTTGGGCCAGACCTACCAACAAGCTCTGTCTATCCTACTAATTAGGACATAAGCCTCACTAATTGGCCCACTATATGCCAGATGTACCTTCCACTTTCCCTTTCTTTGCTCTCGTTTCTCCGCTTCCTTCTTCTCATTCAATTATCAGCCCCCTTCTTGCCCACACTCCATTCATCCATTCACTTCCCTTTCACCCTCCAGTCATCCATTTCCCTGGATCCCAACTCCCAGTCATCCATCTGCCTTTTATCCTACCCTTCATTCATCCATCTGCCTTTCATCGTCTCCATAATAATCACTCTCTCCCACACCAAAGGTATTCTGGCAAGATAACAATAAGACGTTCCCCGTCTTTCTCTTGCATACAAAAGGTAATTTGCCCGACTTAATCTCGCCTCGTTAAATGTAATCTCTGTTTTATTCTTAATGTAATATGACTTAGCAGCCCATCTCCAGCTTCAGTAGCGTGCGTCGTTATAATAATGGAGCATCGTTAAGTAGCGTGCGTGGGAATACCAACAGTCTTAAGAAACTAAATACGTTCCAAGCTTTCAAACGTAAGCCTTCCGTATGGGTTAATTTCTTAATGTTAATTACATTACAAATTGTAGAGGTGAAGAAACACGGACAACACTTGAGTATCTATATTTCCGAAAGGTTTCGCCTACAAAGTAGGCTTCTTCAGTCAAATACAGTGGTAACTGAAATTGGAGGGAGCAGAAGCAGTGGAGAGGTAAAGATGATGTGATCAGTTCAGTCTAGCCTTAATTAAAAGTAGTAGTTTTGAGGTGGTCAGTCCCTCTGCCTGAAGAAGCGTCCAGTTCTATGGTCTCGATCAATGTGAAGCTAAAGCATGAGAATTGCGCCTTATTCGGAGGCTACGCTGGGTTTAGGAATCTACGTTTATATAAGTTTGTACTCTGAATTTCCAAGAATTTTTGTGGCCGGGTCACCACTACTTGGAAAAGACCCGGGCCGGGAGAATACCGGCGAATAAGAAAAAAAAAATCTGCTTCTCAGGTGACATATCTCTCCAATTAAGATGTCGAGGTGTGCACATGTGTTTTATCTATCCATCAACTTTTCAGTGTTGTATATCTTTGATGTAATGACAAAAAACTGAGAAGCGAAGTGACCAATTAACAAAACAGAAAAGCAGTAACCGTGCGAGAAGAGAGGAAACGAAAATCTTATATAAGATTTTCATTTTCTTAATGCTTGGGTAGAATGTAGTAAGTTGTGTTTCATTTACATCATAATCATAAAAAATCAGGTGTTGTAAGGTAACGGTGAGGTGTAGTCTCTTTCCTTATATGTATTTCTGTTGATTTTTTTATTTTTGCAGTTCCTTGATAGTGTGAGAAATCACGAAAGCAGTTGGAATTCTACTATTGTGTGTGTACTCACCTATTTGTGGTTGCAGGGGTCGATTCATAGCTCCTGGCCCCTCCTCTTCACTGATTGCTACTAGGTCCTCTCTCTCCCTGCTCCATGAGCTTTATCATACCTCGCCTTAAAGCTATGTATGGTTCCCGCCTCCACTACTTCACTTTCTAAGCTATTCCACGGCCTGACTACTCTATGACTGAAGAAATACTTCCTAACATCCCTTTGATTCATCTGAGTCTTCAACTTCCAATTGTGACCTCTTGTGTCTGTGTCCCATCTCTGGAACATCCTGTCTTTGTCCACCTTGTCTATTCCGCGCAGTATTTTGTATGTCGTTATCATGTCTCCCCTGACCCTCCTGGCCTCCAGTGTCGTCAGGCCAATTTCCCTCAACCTTTCTTCGTAGGACAATCCCCGTAGCTCTGGGACTAGTCTTGTTGCAAACCTTTGCACTTTCTCTAATTTCTTGATGTGCTTGACTAGGTGTGGATTCCAAACTGGTGCTGCATACTCCAGTATGGGCCTGACGTAAATGGTATAGTCTTGAACGACTCCTTACTGAGGTATCGGAACGCTATCCGTAGGTTTGCCAGGCGCCCGTATGCTGCAGCAGTTATCTGATTGATGTGTGCCTCAGGAGATATGCTCGGTGTTATACTCACCCCCAGATCTTTTTCCTTGAGTGAGGTTTGCAGTCTTTGGCCATCTAAACTATATTGTGTCTGCGGTCTTCTTTGCCCTTCCCCAATCTTCATGACTTTGCATTTGGCGGGGTTAAACTCAAGGAGCCAGTTGCTGGACCAAGCTTGTGGCCTGTCCAGGTCTCTTTGCAGTCCTGCCTGATCCTCATCCGATTTGATTCTTCTCATTAACTTCACATCGTCCGCAAACAAGGACACTTCTGAGTCTATCCCTTCCGTTATGTCATTCACATATACCAAGAACAGCACAGGTCCAAGGACTGACCCCTGTGGAACCCCGCTTGTCACAGACGCCCACTTTGACACCTCGTCACGTACCATGACTCGTTGTTGCCTCCCTGTAAGGTATTATCTTATCCATTGCAGTGCCTTTCCTGTTATGTGTGCCTGATCCTCTAGCTTTTGCAGTAACCTCTTGTGAGGAACTGTGTCGAAGGCCTTCTTGCAGTCCAAAAAAATGCAGTCGATCCACCCCTCTCTCTCTTGTCTTACTTCTGTCACCTTGTCATAAAACTCTAATAGGTTTGTGACACAGGATTTTCCCTCCCTGAAACCATGCTGGTTGTCAATTATACACTTGTTTCTTTCCAGGTGCTCCACCACTCTCCTCCAAGATATAAGAACTAAAATAGGAAGCCTAAAGCTATGTTAAATTTTACAAGAAGAAATAATTTAACAAGGAGCTAAAAGTCTTAGGAAAGTAATGAAAGATTTCAAAGTAGTTCGAAATGAATAAATGGATATAGTTCATATTGTAAAAAATTGGAACACGATAAATTAAGGAATAATCAGTAAAATAAATGACGATATTTAAGAGTTATGTGACTGTGACCTCGTTCAGTACCGAGAAACAAGAAGAATCCATGACAGTAATGATCACGAAGGAAAACACAGCAGAAGGACATTGAACATAACAAGATACTGTATTAAACTGTCGAGAGAGACAGACCAATTATTTTTTCCCTTTGGCTGTGTTGCAAGTGACATCGAATACAAAAGTTAAAAAGATAAATAGATGGAAAGACAAATCAGAATGACCACAAAGGGTTTCCAGCTTAGTATAGTAAGCAGCAGCTTACCGAAGGTTAGGCAAATATGAGAGTCAGAAAATAGACTACTGTAACTAACTCTCACATATGTTAGGAAAAGGGAAGAATTACTAAGAGAAAGGCAAGCATTAAGGACATAAGACCAAAATTAGTAAATGCGAGGCGAAGACGTATTGAGATAAAGAGGAAAACCAGTATCAAGAAAGTTGTGGAAAAGGTTAAAGATATAAATGACTCAATAAATGGAACAGTTTTTTCGGCAGAGTATTACATGAATTCCAGTATAATTAAAAATTAGGTAAATGAACAGGAATAGAAAGAAGAGGAATATATCAAACG